TAAAAAACAAATTGGCCCCAAAACCAAGGTTTCCCCGAACCTTTTGACCAAATGGGAATTTAAAAAAACACAGAAACCAAAAAAAACCCCCAAAATCACCCCCCCCCCCTTTGGTGGGAACGGTAACTTTGGGGAAAAAAAAACTTAAATAGGTGTGTCCAAATTGGGGTTTCCTTTTTCCCAAGGGATGCCAACCCCAAATTTGGGATTTTTTTAAGGGTTCCAAAAAGTTTTTGTAAAAAAATTTTTCCCCCCCCCTGGAGTTTTTTTTTTTTTTTAAACCCTTTTAAAAATTCCAATAGGGCCCCCCCCCCCCTTTTTAGCGAAAATTTCATGTAAAAGTTCTTGCAAAAGGTTTCCCGGGGGCCCCCTTTACTCCCCTTCCCAAGTTTTTTAAGTTTGGGGGATGGCCGGGGGGGCCACCTTGAGCTACAAACTTGACAAAAAATAGTAGTGTTTAGCTTGAAAAACGGGGGGGGGGCCCCCCCGGGAAATTAGGTAGGGGAATAGCCAAGCAGGGGGGCTCCAACCCTCCAAGAGCCCACACATTGAAATGTATTTAGCCAAAACATAGACATCTATAATGTGCTATACTGTACTGGAATATATTGCACTCTACTGTACTGTGCTCTACTTTAGTGTATTGTACTTTTCTCAACTGTACTCTACTGTACTGATCTCTACTGTACTGCACTGTACTGTACCCTGCCCTACTCGACTGTACTGTACTGTACTATACTCTACTGCAGGGGTTCCCAACCTAGGGGGCGCCCACGTTTCTGATGCACATGTGAATATATTTGGTTTGTCTCTATGACATTCAGAAGCTGAGCTACGACCTTCTAAAGTCCAAGAATCAAAGAAATTGGACTTTGCTTGGGAAGTAGGCCGCATTCACATGCTAGTCGGAACTAGCAAACTCTGAAATATCCTATTTGCTAATTCGTTGAACGCGGCACGTGATTAACTACAACCAGTGCTCTACTGTTCTGTACCCTACTCTACTGTACTGTGCTCTATACAACGGGTTACCAACATATTCAAATAATGAGTGACATATTTTCATTAAAAACGTTATTTTGATTAATTTATAGATATAGTCCCGACACAAACCTAGGGTTGCTAGAGACGCGACCCAGTCGTTCAGTCTTTTTGTTCTGTATCTATGGACGCGACCCAGTCGTTCAGTCTTTTTGTTCTGTATCTATGGACGCGACCCAGTCGTTCAGTCTTTTTGTTCTGTATCTATGGACGCGACCCAGTCGTTCAGTCTTTTTGTTCTGTATCTATAGACGCGACCCAGTCTTTCGTTCTAAATGTTCCATTGCCATACTGGCATGCAACCTTCTTATCCCTTGCTTGCTAGCTAGCCAACTACGGCTAACTTACAGTCACGTCAAAAAGTTCCGCCAGAATAACAGCAAAGTAGCTGCATTTGCATTTGTTTAAGCTGTTTTTTAGTGACATTTATTTGGATACATCCATAACAATGAGCTAATGAGGCAAGATTCGCCTGGCATAGAGAATGTGCTCACTCGTCAGGACACTGTTGTTCAGAGGAGCTAGCCAACAACACAGCTACAGTAACACAATCACTTCAAACTGAAGCTGGAAAGACTGCAAATTAGCTGCGTTTTGTTTTACCTTTTTTCAATGGACATTTTTTTTGTACATATCCATAAAAATTATGCCAGCTGATTCATGATTTAGACCGGCTGAGAAACGCTGCCTGCCTTTCTGTCTCATTCCGACTCCCGACACGTTCAATACTATGGGACAGCAGGAGATCGAATTTGAATATTGAAACAACGTTGCAAATGTCGGAGAGACAGACAGCAAGGTTTATACAAATCGCCGCTGTAGAAAACTAAATGTTAGTCTAAAAGAAATGTGAGATAATGTCCAGATGCTTTTTATAGTGGAGATCAAGTTTATAAAGTGCCTGACTGGGTTGATGAAACAGTGGATTGCGCAGTCAGACAGAACAGTGTAAATAGGCATTTTAATGTCATAGATTTAGCTGGTGGTAACTTGTGGAATAGACACCTGGCTGGAATGCGGTTTTAACCAATCAGCATTCAGGACTAGACCCACCTTTGGGTAAATGTACTGACCCTATCTACTGTACCGTGCTCTACTACCTGACTGTACTCTACTGTACTCTACTGTACGTACTCTACTGTACCTATGTACTGTACTTACTGTACTCTAGGTATTCCCCTTACGAAAAACTCTACCTACGTACTCTACTGACTGTCTCTACTGTACTTACTGCTCTATGTATGTACCCCCTTTACTCTATTACTTACCTACTCTAGTACTACTGACTCTCTGTACTGACTCTACTGACTGTACCAAAGTCTGTATTACTGTACTCTATTTGTACTGTACTCTACGTACCACGACCTACTCTACTGTACTCTACGTACTGTATCTACTTACTCTACTCTCTGTCTTACGAAAACTCTACTTCGTACTTACTGTACTCTCTGTACTATACTCTATGTACTGTCCCGTACTGTACCTAGTACTCTACTCTACTGTACTCTAGTACTGTCCCTTACGACTCTACTGTCTGTCCTCTACTGTACTCTCTGTACTATACTTACTGTATTTAAAACCCTACGTACTCAACTGTACTTACTTACTTACCTATTACTTTTACCTACTGTACTCTACTTATGTACCTACTCACTGTACTCTTTTGTACTCTACTGTCGTACTCTACTGTCCTCATTTAAACTGTACCTACCCCTACTGTCTCTTTCTCTACTGACTCTACTGTCTGTTCTCTACTGTACTCACTGTTCTACTCCTGTACTCTACGTACGTACTCAAAATGTATCTACTGTCCCTTATGTACTTTCTTACTGTATTTTAACTGTCTCTACTCATCTACTTCTCTACTTACTCTACTCTATTTACTCTACTTTTACTCTACTCTACTTACCTATTGTACCTACTCCTGTACTCTACTGTACTCTACTCTCTCTACTCTCGGGACTCACGACTGTACTCTACTGTACTGAAATTGAGTTTCTTAAATTAAAAGAAAGGGCCGGGGGATCTTGATCTAGGGTTTTTGGTTTGAGACCACTCAAGACCCACATACATTTGGTCTTTAACTTGTCATGGTCTCAACATATTGGGTCTTGGTCTGGATCTTGGGGACCAATGTCCTGGCATAAATCTTGGTCTTAGCTCCTGGATATAGTCTTTGGTTTACAATCCATAGGCAACCCAATTTGAAGAAGACAATACTCTCTGATCATTGGCTGATCACTCCCAACCCATAGGAATCCCCACCCAGTTGACTACTTTTAAATGGTGGAAGCCCTCAATGGTAATGTCTATACTAAAACGAGTTATATCCATCTAGAGTCCTCCATTAATCTCTATGATTGACACTTGACAGCGTAACGGCTGTTATTCTGCCAACATAAAGATAGGTAGTGATAATTTAATTATCTAATAACATAATTAATTAGATGCACAAGTAATTCAATCAATAAACCCGTTTCAGATTCATACAATCAACACTTAACATTTTACAGAGAACAGTAGCGATTATACTTCTCTAAATTAAATGTAAAGGTTTTGAAAATCAGGTTAAAAATCATGTTTTTACCATTTTGTTAATTTGGTATGCAAAAAAATTTTTTGACATGTATCTGTAATAGAAGGTTAATCAAAATGATCTCTACTGTGCATGGTTCTTCCTTTATTGCAACGTTTTCACTATGTTTCGGTAGTGACAAATTTAATGGGGTGGTAGGGAATTCAGGTAAATATTTCAAATCTGCAGTAAGCGTGTGAATAATATACTGCATATTCCTATTGGAAGACGTGTGCTGAAAGTTTGGTAAAAATAGGATACAAATTAGATTTTCTTTTAAACCCCCAATTTGCACAGCTTCTGCAGAATGACCCATATACTGTTAATCTGTAATTAAAAAAGTTAAAGGTCCATTAACAGTCTAGCCTATGTCATTACTATTTGTTGATTTGATGAATTTTGAATTAAAGAAGACAATGGTGTAAAGTAACTATATAAAAAATACTTTGAAGTACTACTTCAGTATACAGTATTTATACTATTACTCAAGTAGTATTTTACTGGGGTTACTTTCACTTTCTATGAAGGTATCTTTACTTTTACTCAATGACAATTGGGGAGCCTACTTTTTCCACCACTGGGCCTAGGTAGCCTAGCCAAACCGAAGTTATATAATATAAACCCAAAGTTGATCACATTCACATTTTCTCTTAATTTAGGCTATAAATACATAATGTTACCACTTTGTTTCCCCTGGCCAGATGAGACAGGGTGCATAGAGGCTTACAGTTGATCAGACTGATACTGCATGTCAGATCGCTAATGTTTAGGTGTAGGCTGCTAAAACATTTCTCTAAAGAGTCTATTGGGAGTGAGTTATTTTCCTGTTTGCTAAAATAATATCGGTGGGGAAATGATAGCCCGCTCTGATTTATATAGACGTGTGCCATGCCCGACCTGCACGACCTGTGATTTCTGTGAATCTGATTGGTCAAAGAGGTGGCATCACATTTCTTTCTCCTGCTCTAAAGCTACCCCAGGTGATTTATTTTACTGAAAGCAACAAAACTGTAAGGAATTCCAGTAGGCGTAGCCTAAAATGTATATTTCTGATTCATCCCCATTGTTTAATTGAAAGACGGACAATTTATGTAATTTATGTTGAGCCTGCTCTGTGGTTGTCTCATTAGGCAGGGGATTTTTGTAAAGGAGTGGCTGTGGTTCCGGATTAATAGAATGATCAGCCTACCACTGGCTTTGTTCTGACTGGGGGAGGAGCTCACAGCCTGCAATAAAAGGCGGCTGATTCAATGTAGTACGTGTATGTAGAAGGCTTTATTGGTTTCTCGTAGTTACTGACTGAATTGTCGTGGGGTAAATATTTTCCTTCCACGCAATAGTTTTTTATTCTATAGCGTCGACAGTAAAATAATTAGTTTCTAAAATGACTTGGTCGGTAAGCAGTTGTTTCATTAGTCTGGTAGTACTGTTCCTTTGGCAGGTCGATGAAATCTCAGAAGCTTGCACTTGCATGACTGTGCTGCATCCTCAACAGGGTTTTTTGCAATGCAGACGTCGGTAAGGCAATTTTGGCAACATTTCTTACTTCTGGAGTTTCTCTTCACATGTCGATAGGCCGCGTACTACACTATCAATGCGCATCATGCAAAAATGTTAGGAATTTTGTGGTCGTTGTAATGTTAGCATTTTGAGGACATGATCATTAGGCATATATTTACATCTTCTCACAAGTAGTTACATTAAGTCAGCAACAGTAAAATGGGCTACACCTGGGGTTTATTCATTAAAGATCTAACGAAACGGAGGGACTGCGAAGAGCTGTCCTTGGTATATTCTCCAAAATGATTGAGGGACACATTGCGGGATATGAGATCTAATTGTTTGGAATGATTGCTTTGGCTTTGCTGCTGAGGGCGTGAGCTCTGTTGGTAGAGCATGGCCCTAAAGCCTGTGACATCTTGGGTCTGTAAAGGATTCCATGTACTCTCAGATCCCACAACACCCTGAATCCATTAGTGTCTAACTATGTTTTTCTCTTCTAGTGATCAGGGCAAAGGTGGTTGGAGTGAATGTTGGGTCTAACACCATCAAGTATGACATCCAACAGATCAAGGTATGATCAGCCTTTTTATTAAGTGGTTGTTCCTTCCTGCACTGGAACATTGAAGCCCCCTGAACCCCAGTCTGACAGCTGGTCCCAATTCGCTCCCTTCCCCTTGGCCCAACCCTTCAATGTTTGCAGATATTAAGGATCTGGATAGGTATAAGCTGTGCCGTTGTGGTGCTTCCACCATATGAAAAAAAAAAAAAAAGGTTAACTTCTATAGAAATGCCTCTTGATTTAATAGTAGAGATTTTATTATTCAGTCGCTGTTCCAACTGGCCCTTGACTATGGCAACATCCTCTATATGAACTCCGCTGCCGCTTCATTAAAGCATCATTACATTCTCTACCAGAAAGTTGGTTGGCCCTCTGTCACAGGTTGATACATTGCTATGTTTTCATTTATAAAGTCCTTTTACAAAAAATTCCCACTGTTCCTTACATCATTACTAAGACATGAGTTAGCCATCCCTGAGACTGGGTGTGGTAACTGGAAATTCCTTTTGTCTCTACGGAGTTAGGTAAACCAGCTTTAAGTATTTATTTTTTTGCACCTGAATTTGTGGAACCATCTATCAAATGTTCAAATATTTGTTTTGGTGACTCTCGGACAATTCAGAAAGCTATTTATTTAATTTTTATGACAGTGTTCTTTCTGCTTGCATTTTTTTTTCTATACACTGCTCAAAAAAATAAAGGGAACACTTAAACACAATCTAACTCCAAGTCAATCACACTTCTGTGAAATCAAACTGTCCACTTAGGAAGCAACACTGATTGACAATACATTTCACATGCTGTTGTGCAAATGGAATAGACAACAGGTGGAAATTATAGGCAATTAGCAAGACACCCCCAATAAAGGACTGGTTTTGCAGGTGGTGACCACAGACCACTTCTCAGTTCCTATGCTTCCTGGCTGATGTTTTGGTCACTTTTGAATGCTGGCGGTGCTTTCACTCTAGTGGTAGCATGAGACGGAGTCTACAACCCACACAAGTGGCTCATGTAGGGCACATCAATGCGAGCTGTGGCAAGGTTTGCTGTGTCTGTCAGCGTAGTGTCCAGAGCATGGAGGCGCTACCAGGAGACAGGCCAGTACATCAGGAGGCTGTAGGAGGGCAACAACCCAGCAGCAGGACTGCTACCTCCGCCTTTGTGCAAGGAGGAGCAGGAGGAGCACTGCCAGAGCCCTGCAAAATGACCCCCAGCAGGCCACAAATGTGCATGTGTCTGCTCAAAACGGTCCGAAACAGACTCCATGAGGGTGGTATGAGGGCCCGACGTCCACAGGTGGGGGTTGTGCTTACAGCCCAACGCCATGCAGGACGTTTGGCATTTGCCAGAGAACACCAAGATTGGCAAATTCGCCACTGGCGCCCTGTGCTCTTCACAGATGAAAGCAGGTTCACACTGAGCACGTGACAGAGTCTGGAGATGCCGTGGGAGAACATTCTGCTGCCTGCAAACATCCTCCAGCATGACCGGTTTGGCGGTGGGTCAGTCATGGTGTGGGGTGGCATTTCTTTGCGGGGCCGCACAGCCCTCCATGTGCTCGCCAGAGGTAGCCTGACTGCCATTAGGTACCGAGATGAGATCCTCAGACCCCTTGTGCGACCATATGCTGGTGCGGTTGGCCCTGGGTTCCTCCTAATGCAAGACAATGCTAGACCTCATGTGGCTGGAGTGTGTCAGCAGTTCCTGCCAAGAGGAAGGCATTGATGCTATTGACTGGCCCGCCCGTTCCCCAGTCCTGAATCCAATTGAGCACATCTGGGACATCATTTTTCGCTCCATCCACCAACGCCACGTTGCACCACAGACTGTCCAGGAGTTGGCAGATGCTTTAGTCCAGGTCTGGGAGGAGATCCCTCAGGAGACCATCCGCCACCTTATCAGGAGCATGCCCAGGCGTTTGTAGGGAGGTCATACAGGCACGTGGAGGCCACACACACTACTGAGCCTCATTTTGACTTGTTTTAAGGACATTACATCAAAGTTGGATCAGCCTGTAGTGTGGTGTTCCGCTTTAATTTTGAGGGTGACTCCAAATCCAGACCTCCATGGGTTGATAAATTTGATTTCCATTGATAATTTTTGTGATTTTGTTGTCAGCACATTCAACTATGTAAAGAAAAAAAGTATTTAAGATTATTTCATTCATTCAGATCTAGGATGTGTTATTTTAGTGTTCCCTTTATTTTTTTGAGCAGTGTATGTTTCTGTAATTCAAGGCTCCTCTGTAAAAGTGACCCTGGTTAAATAAGAAATGATTGCTTGCAGATCTGCAAACATCAAAGGGTTAGTGCTGAGGGGATGGGGTATAGAGTGGGAATTAGTAAAGACTGACAGTGCCTGAGAGCTGCAGTCAGTGCGGTTCAAAACTGTTTGACAGATCCTTCATTCTCTCCTTGTGATTGGCTAGATGTTCAAAGGTCCTCACCGGGTTATCCACGCCGTCTTCACTGCATCCTCCCCAGCCGCATGCGGCGTGACTCTGCAAATCAACAAGGAGTATCTCTTCACAGGTGCGTTTCTCACTACGTTACCCAAGTTCCATTGCCAGCAGTGGTTAACCCTATCAGTCCCGAGACCCCAGCAAAAATCTGCTTTTCATTTATTTGCATGTCCAGCCCTTACATTTAGCCTCGCTGAAGTGTTTTTTATTTTCTTTTTAGGACAACCAGGGCTACAAGTGAAACGCAAAACAATTTGACATAAACAGTTGCATTCATGAGTTTTATTGACCAATGTAAAGAAATATTAGGTCCGCCAAAGCAAAAACCTGATAAAAATGAATGTCAATGCTGTAAGTACAGAAATTGTTTGCTCAGTTGGAAATTGATATCCAACTAGTCGGTGACAACTGTTTGGTGTTTGTGACAACTATGTAAGCGTATTACATTACTGAAGACACTATGTCCTTGGATTTCATATGATGTATGTAGAAGAACACTTAACTTCTAACTTGTGCGCGTCAGAGCAGAATATGTTAGGTTGTGTGTTAGCGTTTCATAAATGGCTTTTAATAGTGACTCTACAGACGTTTTTGTAAAAGACCCTGCCCTTGGCCCCTTTTGGGATCTGCCCTTGTCTCACAAACCCCTCTCTACCTCAGCCTCCGTTAATCACAAACTAATGGTTGGTACCAGCGGATGCAGTAGACATGGACTAATCCAATGTTACAACCCAGAAGTGTGTATCTCAAACACACTGTTTTAAAAGGGATTAGAAGTCCAAAAACTGCCACTCACTGGGACTGATTGGGTTTAAACTGCTTAAAATGCTTACAGCATCATGGCCTGCTCTAAACTATTGACTTCACCTGGTATAAGAAAACAAGTGCCTTAGAAACAATACATTCTCTGTACATCTTCAAGTTACACTTATAATAATTTACAAATGCTTACACGTTTACAATTCATTAAATGATTATGAAACAATGTTTATAATGCTTATACAGTGTCTATAGAAAGTCTACACCCCCCTTTCAAAGTGTTCACCTTTTGATGTCTTATAGCAGGGGTGAAAAGTCATTCCACGGAGGTTTGAGTGTCTGCAGGTTTTTCCTTTCAATTAAGACTTAGACAACCAGGTGAGGAGCTCCTTACTAATTAGCTGTGGTGAGAAAAAGTATCCAATTGTCATACTTGAGTAAAAGTAAAGATAACGTAATAGAAAATGACTCAAGTAAAAGTCACCCAGTAAAATACTACTTGATTAAAAGTATTTGGTTTTAAATATACTTAAGTATAAACCATTTCAAACTCTTTATTAAACAAACCAGACGGCACCATTTTTATTTTGTATTACTTACAGATAGCCAGGGGCACACCAACACTCAGACATAATTTACAAACAAAGCATGTACACTACATAACCAAGTATGTGGACACCTGCTCGCGTAACATCTGTTGTGGAAATTCTAACCAATAAGGAGAGACATTGTTATTTCTTCAAAATGATACTTTTATCGACTTAATTATTGCAATAACTCACTATCTCCTGTCTGTAGGCAAGCTGGTGACTGGAAGGATGTACGTAACACAGTGTGGCTATAATATGCCCTGGGAAGACTTGAGTGCCACGCAAAAGAAGAGCTTGACTCACCGCTACCAAAGCGGCTGCGATTGCAAGGTGTTTGTGTGATGGGAATTATTGTGATATTACTGTACACCAATATTTACACAGCACTTTTTCTAAAAGGAAGTATACTACTCTGGTCACATTGGTAAAACGCATGAGCTCGAGTATTGGGATAATGATCTGTCAGTGATCTTGGTCTTCTGTCTCTCTGCTCCGATCCACAGATCATCCGCTGCACTTCCCTCCCCTGTCCGATCAGCGCCCCGGATGAGTGCCTGTGGACGGACTGGTTGTCCAACTATGGCCAAAGTGGACCTCAGGCCCAAAACCTTGCCTGTATCAAGAGGAGAGATGGGTCCTGTGCCTGGAAGTAGTTCCTGGATATTGAAGAGCCTTATACTCTACAGGCCATCTGCTGTGATTAAAGATGCCTGCAATTAATAAAAAAAAAATACACAAAGCTACAAATGCAAATTATGATTAAATGAAATCAAAGTGCTTACTGGTCACTTCTACAAGTGCAATAAAAATATACTACAAATGAAATATAACGCTCCAAGTATTAACTTCTTCCGCTGATCCGTTTACTAGTTTTTAAGCTAACAAAAGGTGTTAATGAAACCCAAAATGGTTCTCAGTGGTGTTGGCCCATGTGTTTTCTTCTAAACAGAACAGTTCCTGAAATGTTATCCTAATTCCTGGGACTCGTTCAACAGGGCACAATGTAGAAAGTTCAAATGTTATGTTCTATACATGAGGAACAAACTGGCTTCTCTGACAGGAGGAAAGGAATCATGTCTGCTCTATTAATGGCATTCCTATCTGCAGCGTTCAATGATTGGTTACTGAATGTGGCTCTGAATTAGTTTGGGTCTAAACCAGGGCTTCAGCTTTGTCATTGACCAACTTAAACACTCTGATTCTTAAGTCGGAAAATATTGGTGTGTATTCTTCGGTGGGATGAATATTCTATTATGTACAATGCTTTGTTAATGTGCTAGTCGGAATTAGGAAACTGACATTTTCTTATTTGCGAACTGGTTGTAGTTATACAATTGCCACATTCAAGTTAGGGAGTTGGATGTTTCCTAGTTTTGACTAGCACAGGAGTGGTACAAAAAAAGTTCCACACTGGCTGACATCGCTGTATCATATTCACTATAACTGCTTCATGCTTTTATTTGCTGGCTTATCTTACTATGGACAAAACCCTTTGATTTCTCTGCAACAGATTGTAAACCTGGTGCAGCTCACGTTTGACAGGGCGTGTACGCTAGAGACGGCATCACTCCGTGAAACAACGGCTTCCCAGTAATTGTTAATGGAAAGAAAGTGGTGAGAAGCGGAGTGGGCGGGGGACTGTTGGGCGAAGCAAACATTGGGCAATGGAGCTGAACGCAACGGGGATAAAGTTGGGCAAAGCTTAACTTTATGCAAATCTTCTTTGATATCGTGGGGCAAATAACCTATCAAAGCTCACCATAGCTTCCAACCCCTACTGGATTGACTGACAATGGCTGTTGCTATGTAACACTACCTAGCATGCTGCTAGTTTGTTAGCACCCACATGAGAGCGACGCTAGCGTGGCTAGGCGAGATACCGCTATGGTTGTAAGGCCCTCCCCCACCCTCCTTTCGGCAAATCTGACCACGATTCCATTTTGCTCCTCCTCCCTTCCTATAGGCAGAAACTCAAACAGGAAGTACCCGTGCTAAGGACTATTCAACACTGGTCTGACCAATCGGAATCCATGCTTCAAGATTGTTTTGATCACGCGAACTGGGATATGTTCCGGGTAGCTTGCAAAAATAATTTAGACGAATACACTGAAATGGTGACTGAGTTTATCAGGAAGTGTATAGGTGATGTTGTGCCCACTGTGACTATTAAAACCTAACCTAACCAGAAACCGTGGATAGATGGCAGCATACGCAACAAAACTGAAAGCGCGAACCACCGCATTTAACCATAGCAAGGTGACTGGGAATATGGCAGAATACAACATGTAGCTACTCACTCGCAAGGCAATTAAACTGGCAAAACATCAGTATAGAGACAAAGTGGAGTTGCAATTCAACGGCTCAGACACGAGACGTATGTGGCAGGGTCTACAGACAATCACGGACTACAAAAGGGAAAACCAGCCACGTCGCCAACACCGACGTCTCGTTTCCAGACAAGCTAAGCACCTTCTTCGCCCGCTTTGAGAATAACACAGTGCCACCGACGAGGCCCACTACCAAGGACTGTGGCCGATGTGAGTAAGACATTTAAGCATGTTAACCCCCGGCCCAGATGGCATCCCTAGCCGCATCCTCAGAGCATGCGAAGACCAGCTGGTTGGTGTGTTTACGGACATATTCAATCTCTCCCTTTCTCAGTCTGCTGTTCCCACATGCTTCAAGATGGCCACCATTGTTCCTGTACCCAAGAAAGCAAAGGTAACTGAACTAAATGACTATCGCCCTGTAGCACTCACCTCTGTCATCATGAAGTGCTTTGAGAGACTAGTCAAGGATCATATCACCTCTACCTTACCTGTCACCCTAGACCCACTTCAATTTGCTTACCGCCCCAATAGATCCACAGACGATACTATCGTCATCACACTGCACACTGCCCTATCCAATCTGGACAAGAGGAATACCTATGTAAGAATGCTGTTCATTGACTATAGCTCAGCATTCAACACCATAGTACCCTCCAAGCTCATCATTAAGCTTGAGGCACTGGGTCTGAACCCCGCCCTGTGCAACTGGGTCCTGGACTTCCTGACGGGCCGCCCTCAGGTGGTGAAGGTAGGAAACAACATCTCCACTTCGCTGATCCTCAACATTGGGGCCCCACAAGGGTGTGTGCTCAGCCTCCTCCTGTACTCCCTGTTCACCCATGACTGCGTGGCCAAGCACGCCCCCAACTCAATCACCAAGTTTGCAGACGACACAACAATAGTTAAAATAACCTCTCACTCAACGTCAACAAAACAAAGGAGATGATCGTGGACTTCAGGAAACAGTAGAGGGTGCACCCCCCCTATCCACATCGACGGGACCGCAGTGGAGAAGGTGGAAAGCTTCAAGTTCCTTGGCGTACACATCACTGACAAACTGAAATGGTCCACCCACGCAGACAGTGTGGTGAAGAAGGTGCAACAGAACCTCTTCAACCACAGGAGGCTGAAGAAATTTGGCTTGGCACCTAAAACCCTCACAAACTTTTACAGATGCACAATTGAGAGCATCCTGTCGGGCTGTATCACCGCCTGGTACAGCAACTGCACCGCCCGCAACCGCAGGGCTCTCCAGAGGGTGGTACGGTCTGCCGAACGCATTACCGGGGGCAAACTACCCGCCCTCCAAGACACCTACAGCACCCGATGTCACAGGAAGGCCAAAAAGATCATCAAGGACATCAACCACCCGAGCCACTGCCTGTTCACCCCACTATCATCCAGAAGGCGAGGTCAGTACAGGTGCATCAAAGCTTGGACCGAGAGAATGAAAAACAGCTTCTATCTCAAGGCCATCAGACTGTTAAATAGCAATCACTAGCACATTAGAGGCTGCTGCTGCCTATTGAAATCACTGGCCACTTTAAGAAATGGAACCCTAGTTCCACTTTAATAATGTTTACATATCTTGCACTACTCATCTCATATGTATATACTGTATTCTATAATATAATATTATACTGTATCTTAATCCATGCCGCTCTGTCATTGCTTGTCCATATATGTATATATTCTTAAATTCCATTCCTTACTAGATTTGTGTGTATTAGGTATGTGTTGTGAAATTGTTAGATACTACTTGTTAGATATTACTGCACTGTCGGAGCTAGAAGCACAAGCACTTCGCTACACCCGCAATAACATCTGCTAAACACGTGTATGTGACAAATAAAATGTGATTTGATTAGTGTATCTCAGCTGGAGCAATAGGATAAAGTGGCTCAGCTCTGCTCACCCCTACTGGAATTATTTGCAGTTTGGTTGTTTTCTCTTTAAAATGCCCTGCCTAATGGGACAACCACAGAGCAGGCTCAACTTGCCCGGCTGCCATAAATGCCATAAATTGTCCATCTTTCACTTAAACAATGGGGATGAACCAGAAAGATCAGTTTTAGGCTATGCCTACTGGAATTCCTTGCAATTCTTGTGGTTTTCTGTAAAAAAATTAAAATAACCTGGTCAACTCTAACCCTGTAACCCTTAAAGTCCCTGCATCAGCTCTAGGATCAACAGGCTCTGAGACAGCTTCTACCCCCAAGCCATAAGACTGCTAAATAGCTATAAGACTGCTAAAAACTAAATAAAATGGGGACCCGGACTATCTGCATTGACCCTATCTTGCACTGACTATATGCATACTCACAAGACTATACAGTATATACACACTATATACACACACACATACACCGAATGTACACTCTCACACAAAACCCATACATATTGACATACACTACACACACACACTTTCACACTCATCATATGCTACTGCTACTCTGTTCTTTATTTTACTCTTATTATTATCTATCCTGAAGCCTAGTCCTTTGACCCTGCCTTCATGTACACATATACCTCAAATACCTCTTACCTCTGCACATTGATCTGGTACTGGTACTCCCTGTATATAGCTCCACATTGATGGTACTCCCTGTATATAGCTGCACATGATCTGGTACTGGTACTCCCTGTATATAGCTCCACATTGATCTGGTACTGGTACTCCCCTGTATATAGCCTCCACATTGATCTGGTACTGGTACTTCCCTGTATAAGCTCCACATTGATCTGGTACTGGTACTCCCTGTATTAGCTCCACATTGATCTGGTACTGGTAATCCCTGTATATTCTCCACATTGATCTGGTACGTACTCCCTGTGTATATAGCTCCACATTGCATCTGGGTACTGGTACTCCCTGTATATAGCTCCACAATTGATCTGGAACTGTACTCCCTGTATATAGCTCCACATTGATCTGGTACTGGTACTCCCTGTATATAGCTCCACATTGATCTGGTACTGGTACTCCCTGTATATAGCTCCACATTGATCTGGTACTGGTACTCTCTGTATATAGCTCCACATTGATCTGGTACTGGTACTCTCTGTATATAAGCTCCCATTGATCTGGTCTGGTACTTCTCCCTGTATATAGCTCCACATTGATCTGGACTGGTACTCCTGTATATAGCTCACATTGATCTGGTACTGGTACTCCCTGTATATAGCTCCACATTGATCTGGTACGGTGTCCCGGTATATAGCTCCACATTTGTCTGGTACTGGTACTCTGTATATAGCTCCACATTGATCTTGTACTGGTACTCTCCCTGTATATAGCTCCACATTGATCTGGTACTGGTACT